AGTCAGAGCACAAGCCTGGGTTGCAGGCCAGGTCCCCAGTAGAGGGTGCATGAGAGGCAACCACACATTGATGTTTCTCTTCCTTTCTTTCTCCTTTTCCGCCCTCTCTAAAAATAAATAAAATCTTAAAAAAAAAGAAAAAGAACCATTCTGGATCATTTCTAACCTATGAGCTATCAGATCCAGGTTTTGCTGTCTGCCTTACTTTTCTGTATTTTCCATCTAGTACAGTGGTCCCCAACCTTTTTGGCACCAGGGACCGGTTTCAGGGTGATTCAAACTCATTACATTCAAGCTCACCTGCTGTGTGGCCCAGTTCCTAACAGGCCATGGAGTGGTACCAGTCCATGGCCCAGAGGTTGGGGACCCCTGTAATATAATGTTACTTATAGTTTAAGGGCACACCATACACATCTTCAGTTTTCATGATCTGACCATGAGATGGGCTTCCATTTACTAGTGTCATTATTATTACTATTATTATTATTATTATGGCCAATCTGTTTCCCACTGGAAGCACTCAAGTGCATTCTTTAATCTGATTCCTGCTAGGTATGCAATTGGGAACTATAACTATAAGGCTTATTCAAGGCCAAAGCTGTAAGAACGCAATGGTGTAAATTACAATTACCATCTAAAAATTTCCAAAGTCCAGGAGGACAATAAGAGTTTCACAAGTAAATTTCCTTTGCCTCAGCAGCCATTATAGTAGGCCATATTTTAAAGCCACCTCAGCTGCCATCTTATAGTTAGTAGTCCTTGTTGGGTTAGGGGTAAACACATTCCCATTACTGGGTTCTAGGATTTAAACATAAAATTCCTTTTTCAATATTACTTTCAACTAACCTTCTACAACTTCCATTGTCGTTCTTAGTCTCTCCTTACTCATTCAGATATAACCAACTTATTAGAACAAACTATTTCCTTTTAACTTCTCTCAAAAACAGACACATCCCATAAAAGTCTATATTATTAACCAAAAAAGAATATATATGTAATCAGAAACATGACGATTTGTTATTCAATGGATTCTGCATTATTAAACATCATAAATATTTTGTGGAAAACTCTACTATTTAATTAAGTTATTAATAAGACTCCAACAGCTGAACTTACAGCAAAATTATAACTTATGGAAGAAAGGGACAGCAAAATGAAAAACAAGTGGCAAAGGCTATGAAGCAGTTTTCACTCAAATTAAGATAAATAAATCCAAGTTGGAAAGGTAAGCATTTTAGTTGTCTTCTTTTGATAGATTTCATTTTTTCCATCAATAAGTCCCTGCTATTTGAAAGGTGAAATGGCAATTTAAATATCTTAAATTCATGACTGAGTTGTCCATAAAGGCTGGAAGCTCTATGAAACAGGACACAAATCGCACTGACCAGGTTAAAACTGGTCCTATTCCCCTCCAAGGAGGATATACAGAAGATCCAGAGACACATGAAGAGATGCTCAATATCGTTAGCTATCAGAGAGATGCAAATTAAAACCACAATGAGATATCACTTTACACCAGTCAGGATGGCTATCATAAACAAAGCAACAAACAACAAATGTTGGAGAGGTTGTGGGGAAAATGGGTCCTTAGTTCACTGTTGGTGGGAGTGCAGACTGGTACAACCATTATGGAAAACAGTATGGAATTTTCTCAGAAAAATAAAAATCGACCTGCCTTTTGACCCAACAATTCTACTGCTAGGATTATATCCTAAGAATCCTAAAACATTAATATCAAAGAACCTATGCACCACAATGTTCATAGCAGCACAATTTACAATAGCCAAGAGCTGGAAGCAACCTGGGTGCCCGTCAGTAAATGAATGGATCAAAAAATTGTGGTACATATACACAATGGAAGTCTATGCAGCAGAGAGAAAGAAGGAGCTACTACCCTTTGCAACAACATGGATGGAACTGGAAAGCATTATGCTGAGTGAAATAGGCCAGGTGCTGAAAGACAAATACCATATGATCTCACCTTTAACAGGAAGCTAAACAACAAAACAAACAAGCAAGCAGAAAAAAAACCAAGACACTGAAATAGAGAACAAGGGGACAGTGACCAGAGGGGAGAGGGAAGGGAATTTAAGGGAAAAAAGGGGGAGGGATTTGGAGGAACAAATAGGAAGGACACAGGGACGAGAACTAAGGGGGGCGGAAATGGGAGGGAGGTGGGGAGCACGGGGTGGGGGAGGCTGGGATGGGAGAAATAGACAAAAAACTGTACTTGAAAAATAACTAAATAAAATTTTAAAAAACTGGTCCTATTCCTTTAAAGTGTATTGGTGATTAATACAATCCTTATTTACAAAGACAGCACTGCATATATACTATCTCTGTCCTCCAGTCTTGTAGCTTCCTACATAAGCAAAGGATCGGAACATGGTGGGAACTTGAACACAGGACCCCTTTCAGAAGTGAAGTATCTGTTGTCCCAAAGATGTGGTACTGAAGCTCCTTGTCATAAATGACCAAGTTCCAAGATTCTCAAATTGGAACTAACCCCATAAGCACTTGTACATACCTGGTCCTCTTAACTCCTTTTTAAAACGCTCCAAGTGTAAGCCATCAGGGACTGCAGGCATTTGAGCAATCGCTTTCCCATTCTCCTTGCATGTCCTAGCAACTAAGTGATTCCAATTTCTCCACTGCAATTCTCAGTGTCCAGTGTTTGGCTCTGCTGTGCACTGGCAGGACAGACTCTTTTTCTGTTCAGTTATATCTATAACCCTAAATAACCAAATTTCAAATTGCATAGCATACAAAAAGAGACCAATAATGGTATGTTTACGTTAATTGGATCAAAGTTAATACATAGAATAAAGTAGGCAGAATGTTTAAACTATTCTAATAGTTGAAAGTTACAGTACTCTTGATCTCCTTTCTACTGTCTAAAATTTTAATATTTTAGTAAGCAATAAATCAATCCATAGACTCATCCACATTACTTCTCAAACAGGTCTAAATAGTTCAAATTGTTAGGTTAAAGAGGGGGGAGGCAATTAAACACTGGAAATTAGTCATCTGCTGACAATATCCATATTTACAAAAATGACTCAGCAAACCATTTAATGTGAACTTCAACAGCTTTTAATCAATTTCTTAAGGAAAAGATTATTTGATTTGGCCTTTCAAATGAATTTATCAGTCATTCCCACAGTTCCAGGAACACAAAAAAATCTGTTCTTAACACAAAAGATTCAACTATGTTAACCTCCAGCTCACAGAGACATCCAACAGGCAGCACTTGCATTTCTATTAAAGTGAGAAAATGTTAGGAGCTAAAAATATAAGTACATACAAAGGGTATAAAACTTTAAAAAAGCAAAAAGAGAAAAAAAAGTATTACCCCAGAACAATGACAATAGTTGGGATTTCTCTGTCAGAGGAAAGAGATGAGACAGAAATTCCAGCAGTTTTTCCCACCTCCCCTCAATTTTTGAGTGGCAAGATTTATTTGTGCTGAAAACTAGTTATCTACTTCTTGAAACCTAATCAGAATTCATCAGTATTTTGGGACCACATGGGATCAAGGGGGGGGGGGTTCCTGGGAGATTTCCAGATGGATTACAGAACGATTCGTTGATATTTACATAATAAGAATAAATGTTTTTCCTAAGATAGCATTTTCCTTCAGTGCCTTGAGACCACCAGCAAAAGAGGGCAACACAGAAATTCTATTACATGAGTAGTCTTTGTTTTTATAGCTTTAGCTTTTATTAACTAGTGGGAGCTGTTTATTGGGTAATAAACTTTACTAATGGGGCTATTATCTCTAAATTTTAAATCTCCTTCCATATATGGCTTAGTTTTAAAGGAGAATAATTATTTAAAGTGTCTGTATGGCTGCAGCGCATCATGTTTATCAGCATGATTCCTATAATGGCCATTTAATTGTTAATTGCGGGCTTGAACTTCGAATAACCAGAGCAGTGACACACATCTATGCAACAGAATAAAGAATTGTCACCCTACAAATTCAGGAGCATATCATTGGTTTGCTTCCTTTTCTTTTCTCCTCCTATTTCTCGAATTATATTACGAGCCACTACAAGGGCTAAATTATCTACATATTTAAAATCTTGAGCGAAAGACGACAGACTGAAGAGTCAAATAGGTAAGTGATAAAGATGTCAGCCTGAAAAGTTCCAGGAAAAGTGTCATCCTTCTAAAAGCTTGTTTGCTGGGGAATAAAAAATCTTAAAGTGACAAAATGGTTTGGCACTGTCAGTTGTATTTTTTTTAAAATTCTGGGACAAAAATCAAGTAGTCAAAATTAGATTTTGTGGGTAAATGGTTTTAATATATAAATTGGGTATGCTAGTTTATTGGAAAGTCCCATGGTGCCTATTCTACCAATGGCACATTTAGAATAATCCTAGGATTAGATATAGAAATAGCTTATTAACTTCAATTTTAAAAACTGAAACAGCCATTGTTGTTGAGCGAATCAGTATGTATGAGTGCCAAGAAGCCAGCTTGTTTCTAAGCAAGAAGCTGCAGATGTGGAGTGAAAGAATCATGAGCTAGGAAGGCCCCTGAGCTATCATCAGTTCTTCTTCCTCTCCTCAGAGCAGTCCTTGAAAGGTAAATGTCAAAGACCTTTCTCCATAGGCTTCCAATATCTCTGAGAACACCACATAACTTGATATATGATACAGGGCACCCAACATTGAAGAATCGGGTAGATTGGGACAAACTTCTCTAAATGAATTCCCAGAGGTCCATGATTATGAGTGTTAATCAAATATATACTACATGACAAAAGTTCTTTTGAGACTTATAATATATAGGCCTAGAAGAAAAATACAACTAGAACTAGAGAAATGCATATAGTCTTAAAATATTTAAACTTCTGGGGTAGGTGGTATGTGTGTAGAGAATGAACCAAAAAAAAAATCTTTCAAAATCTTTAGCACTCACATCCCTAAATATTTTAGACATAATACATTTTAGACATAATACATAATACCAAAATGTATTTATACATATGCATATATTCCTAAGTTAATAAGCTAACTTTAGATATAAGAAGGGCATTAAAATATAAATAGTGCATGTTTCAATTTCTCTCCCAAGTCTGTACATACCCATAAGTGTGTTGTAGGGAGGGGGCAATCCTTTTCTTCTCACAGCTTTGCTAATTTCAGAAAATAAATACCTTCACTGTAGCAGTTAAAGGGGTATTTTGATATGATGGGTGGTTACAAAGTTTAATTATACAGGTAACAAATGTGTTAAAAAGATTTAAAAAAATACTTAATAGAATCACAACTTATTGCTCTAATATACTTTGATTTTATGTTGTCATGTGTAGCTGTCAAAAGTCACTTTCTTTATGTGTTGTACTAAAACAAATTATGTTGTTTTGAAAATTACCATAAGATTGTTTGGTATTAATAAATCATAAATATAATTAAAATGTTTGATGTTGCCTTAAATGACTTTTTAAACTTTTTTAAAAGGATTTTATTTTATTTTTAGACAGAAGGGAAAGAAAGGAGAAAGAGAGGGAGAGAAACATTAATGTGTGGTTCCCTCTTGCACACCCTGTACTGGGGGCCTGGCCTGCAACCCAGGCCTGTGCTCTGATTGGGAATCAAACCAGTGACCCTTTGGTTCACAGCCTGGCACTCAATCCCCTGAGCCACACCAGCGAGGGCTAAATGACATTTTTAATAGTACTGGTACATCACAATATAATATGATGTTCTGAAAAACATTAAAATGACAAAGAGAGATTAATTATAGTCTATGGATTTAAATTCAACATAAACCTTGATTCCTTTTTGTTTTTAATGAGATTACATGCACTAAAATAAACTTGGCAAAATTAGAACAGGAAGCCGAAGAAAGTTGAGCAAAATTGGCATGGTTACTCTACCTGTAAGCCATACACGTCCTTTAAAAATTTTAAATAGTTAATGTATTTTGAAGGAATAGGTGATGGCATACCAATCCACACATCTTCACATCTCTAGGGAAAAAAAAGTGGATATAATTAAAACCACATCTCAAAGTACAATTTTCTAAATGCAACATTATCTTGTTATATAAACTCTTAGCAAATAGTTTATTTTCAAAGCTGACATTTCTGTAGCCCACTTTTGGATTACAATGACTTTGTGGTACACTGGGTTCTTATGCTTGATTCTTCATCCCTTCCTGTATTAGAATTATACACATATTGTCTGTGAGATGTGACTTTATAGCACCTTCCAAGCTCCATGGAGGAGTTGATTTTCCTGTCCCTTTGTTATGGTCTCAGCCACCTGACTGGCTCTGGCCCATGCAATGTTACCAGATGTACCAGAGGCCTTAATCTGCTGGCATGATTTGGCTTGGCCTCCTATGCCTCTGCCATAGCCATGAGAAGAAGAGGGATCATGAGGCGGCGAGTCAGAATGATACAGGAGGAAGAAACCCAGCTGACCTACAGGCCCATGGAAGAGGAAAATAACTGTCTGTTATTGCAAACCACTCAAATTTAGGGGTGGGACTGTTTGTTATGCAGCATTGTTGCAGTGATAGCTCCTCCTATGCTTCATTAATAACTCAATTTTTTTTTAAATCCAAACTGCTGGCTATACTGGCTGCTTGGTTACTGTTTCTTCCATCTAACAATGTAAGGACTGGATCATTCACAATGTTCTTGGGGGTAAGTTACTTTATATCCTCTTCATATATATGTAGTATAAAAATATACACACATATACTTTAGACATATGTATGATGCATATGTGTGCATATATTTGCTAATTTCAGAAAAATAAATACCTTCACTCTAGAGAGGATTAAAAATATATATTACTATTATTTATTTTTAATACTCACTTTAAGATATGTTTTTATTGATTTTAAAGAGAAAGAAAAACATTGATGTGAGAGAGAAACATTGATCAGTTGCCCCCTGTATGTACCCCAACCAGGTATTAAACCCACAACCTAGGTAAGTGCCCTGACCAGGAATAAAACCCACAACCTTTTTGGTGTATCGGACGATGCTCCAACCAACTAAACCACCCTACCAGGGCTAAGAATTAATTTGATGAGGGAGGTTGCAGCAAAATTATATAAGTAATAAACATGTGTTAAAGAGATTTCAAAAAGCCTTATATATAAAATCTATATACATGCCCATGTCCATATGAGGTCTGTCCAGAAAAAGTCCAGCCATGGTTAATATAACAAGAATGATTTGTACAACATTGATGTAACCCGGAAGCCGAGGAGAGTGGACTGGAGTGTGCATGTATGAACAATGACGACTTCACTGTACTAGTCAGTGGGGGCAGAAGACACTGTTGAGTGAGCATGTGTACTGTGTGGCCATTGTATTCAAAATGACTGAGTGAGTAGAGCAATAAATCTGCATCAAATTTTTCATTAAGCTTGAACATTCCTCTATGGAAACTATTCAGATGATTCAGAAGGCCGCAGCTATGGGCAACTGCTGATTGGCAGCTTCATCAGAACAACACATCTGCTTATGCCTCATCGTCTCATGCAGTTATTTGGTGAAACATGAAATCACCCAGGTGAGTCAGCCCCCGACAGCCCATATTTGGTGCCCTGCAACTCTTGACTTTTCCTAAAACTAAAATCACCTTTAAAAGAGAAGAGATTTCAGATCCTCAATGAGATTCAGGAAAATATGATGAGGCAGCTGATGGTGATTGGAAGAACTATGTGAGGTCCCAGGGTGCCTACTTTGAAGGGGACTGAGATGTCATTGTCCTATATACAATGTTTCTTGTATCTTCTTCAATAAATCTATTTTTCATATTATATGGCTGGATACCTTCTGGACAGACCTCATACCTACTTTTTATTTATGCTGCAATGGTCAATTCATATTAATATCAATGGGGGAAGCCCATAACTGTGTCTGTTTATATTTCTATTTTCAAGGTTAACTATTTCATATAAGAGGTGCTATATGTTGTCTAAAGCTAAATTACTATCCAAAGTCAAAAGATATCACAGAAGCATAAGTAAGGACTCATTGATTTTATGGGATGGAATTGCGGACATAACCTGATTAAGTAATGTTTCACTTGGGCTTTATAGAATGAAGAGCAGTTCATCAGAGGATTAAAGTGATGAAAGCTGTTCCAAGCATAGGAAACAGCATAAGCAAAAGTTTAGAGACATAAAAGTAAATTTTTGAGAAAGGGTAGGTAGCCCAGTGTGGTTTGGGGCACATAGTACAAAGAGGCAAGAAAGGCAGTTGGAAGAAAAAGATAGGGCCAAACTCAGGGGCTTTTGTGCTAATTTATTCTTTATGGTGTGGTTAAGGAAAGGCACTGGTGAGTCTCAGCCAGAAAAACCTGATTAGAAATGAATTACATAACTCATTGGAAGTATGAAGAATGAAATGAAGGTGTAAAATCACTATGGAGGTTACTGCAATAATCCTGTGAAGAGATGATTGTGTTATAACCAGGGCAGCTGAAGCTGGGATGGATAAGAGCCACATCTGAAAGATTTAGCTACAGTAGAACATATACAATACCTGGAAGGTGACTGGTTTGAAGTGGCCGTAAAAGAAAGGAATAGTGTTATGGGTTAAATTGTGCCCTCTTAAAAAAAAAAAAAGAAGAAGAAGAAGAAGTGTTAAAATCCTATTATTTCAGTAACCTCCAAGCTTCTGGGTTGGTAAACACATGAAGACTGGGAGAGAGTGGCCTTTCTGGAGAGGGCATGAAGCTCCTCACCCTTTCCCCATACCTTGCCCTACACATCTCTTCCTTCTGGCTGTTCCACACCAGTAATCTAGTAAGTAAAATGTTTCTCTGCATTCTATGAGCCACTCTGGGAAATTAATCAAATCCAAGGCAGGAGTCATCAAAACATCTACAGCCAGTTGGTTAGAAGCACAAGTGACAACCTAGACATGCACATGATGTCTCAAATGGGGCAGAGGCAGTCTTGTGGGGTAGTTAGGGCTAAGGCACTAACCTGTAGAATCTAAGGCTGTCTCTGGGGAGATAGTATCAAAATTGAGTTGAATTGTAGGAGACCCAGCTGGTGTCAAGAATTACTTGGTATGGGAAAAAAACCCCTACACATTGGAACTGGTGCCAGAATGGTAGCCAAGTCTCAATTTTAGGGAGATTTCCCAATTACTGGTTTAAATTAACTAACAGGAACCAAATTGGGATCCAAAGGAGGGTAGGAAGCAGAAGGTAAAACTTACAAAACTTGGAGAGGGATCAATAAAGTAAAGGGAAAAGATATCTCTTCATAATTTTTGCCTGTAATTGGGTCCATCTAAAGGATTCACATGGTCAATCTCTTTGTAAAATAAATAGATCTTTATTTTTTATTTAATTATTGCTCAAGTACAGTTTTCTGTCTTTTACTCTCATCCCAGCCCACCCCGCCAGGCCTCCCCACCTCCCTCCCATTTCTACCCCCCTTAGTTGTTGTCCACGTGTCCTTTATACTAGTTCTGTAAATACTTCCCCCTTTTCCCCCTGAAATTCCCTCCCCTGTCCCCTCTGGTCCCTGTCAGCCTGTTCTCTATTTCACTGTCTTTGGTTATATTTTGCTTGCTTGTTTGTTTTGTGGTTTAGGTTCCTGTTAAAGGTGAGATCATATGGTATTTGTCTTTCACCACCTGGCTTATTTCACTCAGCATAATGCTTTCTAGTTCCATCCATGTTGTTGCAAAGGGTAGGAGCTCCTTCTTTTTTTCTGTTGCATAGAATTCCATTGTGTAAATAAATGTACCATAGTTTTTGGATCTATTCATTTACTAATGGGCACCTAGTTTGCATCCAACACTTGGCTATTGTAAATTGTACTGCTATGAACATTGGGGTGCATAGGTTCTTTAGGATTGGTGTTTCAGGGTTCTTAGGATATAATCCTAGCAGTGGAATTGCTGGGTGAAAAGGCAGATTTGTTTTTAGTTTTCCTAGAAAATTTCATACTGTTTTCCATAGTGGTTGTACCAGTCTGCAATCCCACTGACAGTGAACTAAGGACCCCTTTTCCCCATAACATCTCCAACATTTGTTGTTTGTTGCTTTGTTTATGATAGCCATTCTGACCAGTGTAAAGTGGTATCTCATTGTGGTTTTAATTTGCATCTCTCTAATAGCTAGCGATATTGAGCATCTCCCCATGTGTCTCTGGATGTTCTGTATGTCCTTAGAGAAGTGTCTGTTCAAGTCCTTTAAATAAATCTTTAGTGACATATGAAACCCCCATACTACCACTGCCTAAATGTTCTAATAAATCCACAAATGTTCCAAACATTACAGACCATTTATGACAATCTGGGCAGTGAGTTAAAAATATCCTTTGTCTTCATTGACCTTTTATTCATCCTACACTACAAATGCAAAGAAAACTCCAGTGTATAATGTATTCCCAGCAGTACATGAAATTTTAAGTGGAAATAACTGTATGGTAATTTTACAACAGGACAGACAACTCAGCCACAGTAGTCCATCCCTCCCCCTTCAAAATGAGGATGAATGTGCTTGTGTTTCTGAAAGCACCCTCCAATGATGATTGCTGGAATCTTAAATATCTTTGTGTATCAGGCTCTGCCAGTGCCCTTCCTGATCCCCTCACCCTCTCACCCCGCACTTGGCTCATACCAGCCTGACTTCCAACCACCAGCACCTGTATTCCTTTGCCTGAGTGCTTTTCTTTGGCCTCTGGTGCCCACTTTGGCTGCCCTAGTCACAGTGACTAGGAATTAATTCTTTCCTCCCACTTCAGGAGCAGTCCTCAAATCATGACTGATGGGAGTTGATGGATGAATACCTCAGCTCCTTTGCACTTTGAATGGGACCTGTCAGCTATGGATCCCTGTGTGTTTTGAGGAATTTAGCTCCAGTCGTCCACATTTGTTACTGGTTTAATAATATGCCTTATAAGCCCCTTTTCTTCCATTTTGTCACTTCTCACTCCCTTACTAATGCTCCTTTCACTTCCCCCCAAAACCACTTATACTGCAAT